ACAAAATTTTCATAATTTCATGCGGATGAAGTCGCACGGGAACAGCTAGTTAATTAATAAAATAAATTATAAAACTAAATACAACGTCGCCTCCCGCTTTTTATTTGTACCTATGTGTGCCTCTTTAAAACTACGGAACAAATTTTGAGATACAGTTTTTTGTGTGATTGTCTATCGTTTCGCAGCTCTTCCAACTGTTGAGTTGCACAACTAAAATCGAGTAGTACCTCCATATAAGCTCAAAGGAATCAAAGATAGACTAAATAGTTGTGCGATAGTTTAGTAAAAGGTGGGCGCGCCCTCTTACGGTAACATATCGAGTCTGCAGGTAGCAATTTCACCGAATATCTTTTGTTTTTACGGATATACTTAAAAACTACTTCACTGATTTCAAAATAACTTTCACCATAAAAGCTCATTTATTTTCTTATTAAACTAGTATTTATAACTAGTCTTTGCCCGCGACTACATCCGCATGGTATTAAAAAAAACAAAAGTGGCTATCCTTTACATGTATGCCAAATTTTATCGAGATCCGTTCAGCAGTTTAGGCTGCAAACTCTAACAAACATCCATCCACACTTTCAGATATATAATATTAGTAAGAAATAAGATTACTGATTACTTACCACTTGAAGCAATGAAAATATTAGACAGCAATATTTCCTGCCTATCGTATCAAGGATGTAACTGGAGAACGGCGTGCTGACCAGCGCGCTGATGGATGATAGGCTTCCTAGGAGTGCTATCTCCGTCTCTGTCATGGGCCGGTTGAGCGTCGTGTTCGCAGAAGAGAATAGAACGAGTGTGGAAGATGGCCAGGTGTACATTATCCCCATTGATAAACAGAGATAACTTACTGGAATAGATAATTAAGAGATCAATAAATTTGACAAAACACTAAATATCTACACTAAGGGATTGTTTACGTAAATAAATAATAACTCTTTTTTCAAGAAGGGAGTGATGACTGAGATAACGGATGATAGAATGCTTTGGAGGACGAAAACCCGGTGCGCCGACCCTACGGGAGTAGGATAAGGCAGGGGAGATGATGAATAATTGAAGAGAATAATTCTAATGGTCATAGAATTTTTAACAAGTTTTTAAGTCCAACCAACCATTCAAATAAATTAAACCACAAATATTTTCTATCTATACTATTATAATAAAGCGTAAAGACACACTTCTTTGTTGCCTAAGATGTCGGCAATATCAGGATATTTTTGAATAATTATTTTTTTTAATAAAAATCCCTACACTTGCGTCAGGCTTTAGGCTACATATTTTCACGCTTAAAAACTTAGGGGGTAAATATTTTGATAAAAACCCTAATGTGGGAAAGAGACAACAACAAGAGCCATAGTAAGGTAATTGGTATTTTGACATTTGCAATTGAGAATTTGATAAATGTAAACAATAAAATAAAATTTTCATAATTTCATGCGGATGAAGTCGCACGGGAACAGCTAGTTAGTTGACATAAATTGTTATTGTAACGGTTGTTTTATAAACATAATTTCTATCTTATTCTATTCTAAATTCAAGCGTTTCTTACAAAACGATTATTCGTCTGAAAATATTACACAAACATACCAACGCCCGTCGCTGCAACTTGATAGAATATCGACATATTTATTTTAATATAACAAATATAATATAACGCAACTGTCGTCCACAGAATCCATCTAGTTATAATAACGAAAATATAGTTTTCTTCTCGTTTAACATTTTATTTGACAAACATTGTTACACGAGGATTATGTTCGTAATCATATTCAAACAAAGACGGAAAAAAGTTATATGAAATTACATTCAAATAGACATTTGTATGTCTGACTAGCTGTTCCCGTTCGACTACATCCGCATGAAATTATGATAATTTTATTTTATTTTTTACATTTGTCATATTATCAATTACAAATGTCAAAATGACATGACATGACACCTTGCAGCTTGATGTTGGCAGCAAGTTATGGTCTCTTTCCCACATTAGAGTTTTTATCCAAAATATTTACCCCCTAAGTTGAATGGCGTAAAAATATATAGCCTAAAGCGTGGCGTAAGTGTAGGGCTTTTTATTAAAAATAAGAATTATTCAAAAATATGGTGTAATTGCTGACATCTTAGGCAACAAAGAAATGTGTGTTTACGCTTTATTATAATAGTATAGGTGTACGATATGCGTTATCATGTAACATGGTTTCGGATTATTGACAACCCTAATATTGAAACACTAAGAGCATGCGCACACCTTTGACTAAACTATCGCACAACTGTTTAGTCTTGCTTTGATTCCTATGAACTTATGAGCACACTACTCAAAATTTAGTTGTGCAACTAAACAGTTAAATGGGCTGCGAAACAGTGCGATACTTTAGTCAAAGGTGTCCGCCCGCTGTTAGACTTTGATGTATAAAGAGATACAGGGATTTCATTGGAAAATATCTGTATAAACAATTTATTAAAAATACACTTAACTGTTATACAAAATATAACCTTAAAAGTTTTCGGAAGTTTCGGTTTCGGTCTAAACAGAGAGCAAGTCCAAAAGTTTAGTTTCGGTTTTGACTGAAAAACCGTAACGGCCGGACACTAGAAATTATAGTTACAATGGTTTTCCTAACTAGGATATTATCTATTCTAATATTGTAAATCATAAGTATTCTTGAGAACGTTCGATATCGAAAATCTTTGTATTACATTTGTTGATGTACCGGGTGTAAACTTCAATAATTTTCTAGATATGTTACGAACATGTTCTCGCAAGATTCTCGTAATGTAACCTCAAATGTAGTAGTTAACGTTAGTTAACGTTAAACGTTAACGCATAAGGTTACAATCAGTCGGTTTTATAGTTATTATTAATTCTTACTAGTATATTAGTAGGTTTATTATAATAGTAAAAAGACTCCTTTTAGCTTGTCCCCGACTAATCTATGTAATGTTTTGTTTAATAAAATATATGTGTGATTATGAAAGAAAATAGTTTAGTAACTTGTTTTTGTTTAAAACGAAAAAAGCCTGTAATTTTAGTGACACATTAAAATAATAGAAATAAGGCAATAGGACTTGTTACAAAGAGATATGTGAAATCATAACAGTTTTCTCGCGCATGGAATTTCCGTAAATATCTTTATTGCAGTACTCTCCGCAGTTTTGTGTAGTTTCAGATTAATTCCTCATCTTATCAAAGTTGTTACATTAAGGCAAGGGTGGTGAACCATTGGCAGGTAAACTATAATGCCACGCGCTATAATATTTTAAGCAAGTCACTGAACATTAAAATAATTAGAAATGTCGATTTAACATAATGGTAAGATTTTGTTTAAGGAACGCGAAGTGATTCAACGCGAAAATCGAGATTATATTATGTCACGTCTATGATCAAATGTCAAGTCACGTAAAGGTTTATCACCCCTGTACTAAGGTATGCTTTTCTTTGTATACGCTTTTTAACATCTTTATATCAAACTGTCTTATGCTCGCGCGGAATAACAGAACCTTAGTGTACTGTGTTCTTCCAGACTATGTTCTGTATTTGTGGAAACAGCGAGATACATTAAGCCGTTTTGATAATGCCTTTGTAACATCCATCCATCAAAACTTTCGCATTTATATTCAGAAGTAAGATGTATAAATAGATTTAGAGCGGGCGTATACCGTTGACTAAACTATTGCACAATTGTTGTGCGATTGTCGATTGTTTCTCAGCCAATTCAACTGTTTAGTTGCCCAGTTAAAAATAGAGTAGTGTCCGCACCTCCATAAGCTCATAGGAATCAGAGCGAGACTAAAAGATTGTGCGATAATTTAGTTTTAGGTGTGTGCTTTTACATTGTCCTTTTTTCCATTAACTGGTAATTTAAAAAAACTTCAGTCAAACTGAATAACATTTGGTAGTAGAATACACTTTTGAATAATCTTACTTCTTACTGATATTATAAATGCGAAAGTTTAGATGGATGGATGGATGTTTGTTAGCGTTTGTAGCCTAAACGGCTGAACGGATCTCCATGAAATTTGTCACAGATTTATAGCATAGTCTGGAAGAACACATAGGCTACTTTTTATCCCGGGAATAGTTACGGTTCTAGTGGGATTCATTAATTTAGTTTTTTAATGTTTACTCGATCATTCTGCGACGGTTCAACATATCTTATTGAAATTTGGCACAGATATAAAGCACAGTCTGATGTACACATGGGATAAGCTTCATCCCCGAGAAATGTCCGGTTCCCGAGGGATACGTAGCTTTTTGTAATTCATATAGTTGGTATGTTTTCGAATAGCATGCGGACGAAGTCGCGGGCAACAGCTCGTTTTAAAATAATGTCGTTTTTGATAAATACACATTTTACAAGAACTTTTATATTACGTAATTAATAGACCAGAAATCTTTGCAAGGTTAAAACAATTATGAAATAGAATAAAACTTTTAAATTGGAGTCCCTAATCTTAATTTAAATGTTATCTAGGTTAAGGATTATTACCAGTGATTGCGAAGCGAAATAAAAGCGAAAAAACTACGATGTTCTAAAACAAAGCGTCAATGGCAAACGGTAAATGTATTCTTGGGTCCTTTATCCGACTAACAACAGTCGAATATATTTCTCATTTCTTCCTATTATTTTCTTAATTGCTTTTACAAGCGACTTAATCGGTGAGGAATTATAAACCTATCTCTCTATGTTTATGTGTTATCCAGACTTTGTAACATCCATCCATATTTTCGCTTTGTTTGTAGTAATATTGGTAGTTGTAACTACTAATAGATATTTCTTGAATTGTTCTATCGCGGAATATAGCTTCGCCGTTACTGTGCACATACCTAAGCTTGTAAGCTTATAATCGCAGAATATAATTTCTGTTTGTCGAAGAAGTTTTATATAATTCCTAGAGATCAGATATCAGATTAAATCTAACTCAGTTTTGTAATGGGTAGGGCAGAAGAGAGTGGATGATATAATTGATATTTTAAAAATTTAAATAAACGTGAATAGAAAAAATATATCATGGCTGTGTTAAATCAAGCGATATCTACTGCTATTGGTAAGTTATTTAAAAGAATTTTGCATATCTATACTATTATAATAAAGCGTAAACACACACTTCTTTGTTGCCTAAGATGTCAGCAATTACACCATATTTTTGAATAATTCTTTTTTTAATAAAAAGTTCTATACTTGCGTCACGCTTTGGACTGTATATTGTAACGCCATTAAACTTAGGGGGTAAATATTTTGGATAAAAACCCTAATGTGGGAAAGAGACCATAAGTTGTTGCCAACATCAAGGAAGCAAGGTTGTCATGGTTATCATCATGTCGTATCATTTTGACATTTACGATTGATAATTTGACAAATGTGAACAATTAAATGTTTTTTTTAAATCTAACGCGGATGAAGTCACATGGGAACAGCTAGTTAAATATATAGTAATTAGTATATAATATATAGTAAAATATGAATAAAACTATTAGGTACAATTTAGTAATTACAACAAACATTTAAAATGTAATATTGCATGTCACATCTAGTAATACTTTACGCATGTACTTACCTGTTTGTATTCAATAGTTTTTTTACTACCTACGCTTTTTTATAGTTTTTTGTGTACGCTTGCATTATATAATAATATAAATGTTAGATAAATAAGTTCCTTAAGTAAAAAGTAAGTCATAAGTTCCTTAAACCTTAAATAAGGATTTTAGCAAATTAGGAGGGTTTTTGGATGTTTGATGGACGGAATGTTTTGTATGTGGTTTTATGCTAATAGTTAAATCGAATTTGAAGTGTTATATTGCATTCGATTTGTATTGTAGGGGAAAAGTAAGATGCGCACATTTGAAACTAAAGTATCGCACAACTGTTTGGTCTCGCTTTAACTCCTGTGAGTTTATGTGGAGGTCCGCACACTATGATGCTTGATTAGTCATGCAACTAAAAAGTGGAGCGTCGGTGGCTCAGTGGTTTGAACACTTGACTTGTAATCTACAGGGTTCGAATCCCGCTATGTACCAATGTGATTTTCGATTTTTCATATGTACATAATTTACCCGACGTTCTTACTGTGAAGGAAAACATCATGATGCAACCTGCACATAGCAGCGAAGAAATTCAAAGATATGTGTGAAGTCAACCAACCCGCACTTGGCCAGCGTGGTTGATTATGGCCTAGTCACCCCTTATTAGGGTAGGCTCCGAGCCCCTCGGTGGGGACGTATAGTGAGCTGGTGATGAACTAAAAAGTGGAATAGGCTGCGAAACAATCGTCAATCGCACCACAGTTGTGCGATAGTTTAGTTTGATGTCTTATGAATTTGTCCACTTAAACACTATCCTGACTTACCCGTCTACGGATGAGCCCGGGATGGTGTTTAAGTTGGCCGACATCTGTTTAAGAAAGCAGTTGGACAACTAAGTTTTGTTTGTTTTAGACTTATGGGGCGTTATTGTTGCTTCGCGACAAAGCCCCCTGTAGAGATAAAATAAAAATAAATGAATTTGAGCGGGAAAAATAATCTATAACGTATAAAATTTGATATGGCACGCCAAATCGTTAATAGTGTTTTGCTGGATGTGCCAAGTCAAAAGTATCATGTTTAACTAGTTATTACATACTATTCCCATAATTATTGATGTTTTATTCTAGTAAGTTACCTTTGTGCGATGCTGGGTGTGATGTACACATGGCCGTCATCTACTCTCGTTCTGTTCTCTTCTGCGAACACAACCCTGGACCGTCCTATGACGGAGACTGAAGTGGCACTCTTGGGCAGTTTATCTTCTATCAGCGCGTTGATAAGTACACCATTTTCTGGCTATCTTCTTGATACTTTAGGAAGGAAGTATTCTTGTATGCTGTTTGCGTTATCACAAGTGGTAAGTTACCCTTTATGACTTTGTAATAGTTTTGTCACAAAAATGATGTCATAATGTTTTTTTATCTCTAGTATTCTAATATTATTTACATGTTATTATGTTATTACATTGTATACTTTTTAAGATTAAATATCTTTAGTTTTATTATAACTAGCGTTCTACAATGCGTCTGTTTGTTCTTGTAAATGTAGATTAACTTACAATAAAGGTAGAAATACAAAATAATTACAATTCAACTGCGTTTCAAATAATGCGCATAAACCTACGTGATCCAAACCCAATGAGTTTTTAGTTGTAGTCTATTCTTGTCTACAACCTTACAAAAACAAATAAAACAAGGGTAGATCAAAAAAAGATTCTCTCAATTTTGACGAGTGCAAATTCACGAGCGCCTACCTTTAACTAAACTATCGCATAACTGTTTAGACTCGCTTTGATTCCTATGACCTTATATGGAGGTGCACTACTCGATATTTAGTTGTGCAAAACAATAGACAATCGACAGTTTTGTCAAAGTCGTTTATTATTTAAATACGAGCAGTTTTTTATTTATCATATAGGATGGCAAACGAGCAAGCGGCCACCGAATCCACCGAAATGGAAAGCGACCGCTGCCCATAAACATCCGCAATTGCAGATGCGTTGCCTATTAACGGAGGAGGAGACGCACATAAAGTGGCATTTCCTCTTCTTATGCGTCTCGTTCACCATCCAATTCACTTTTCCTTTCCATCCTTATCTCTTAAGAAAAGGGTGGAAAGGGAAAGGGACTAAAATTAGCCTTCCTAGTTTGTATAATTTCTTTTACAATCCATAATAATTAAATCTATTTTTCACAGCTAGCATGGGTAGTGGTATCCACTTGTTACAACGTTGTAGCTATCCTCACAGCGATATTCATCTCCGGATTTAGTGGCTGTATGATGTTAGTAGTACCCATTTACGTCAGCGAAATCTGTCAAGAATCCATCCGAGGTACTATGACGTCAGGAGTCATGGTGTTTTATGGATTGGGTATGCTCGCATCATATCTGATGGGTGGATATTTGACTTACGAAGCGATGATCTACGTGTGCCTGTCCATGAGTGTACTTGGTGTTGTACTGCTGGTACTTTTAAAGGAATCTCCCATACATCTTATGAGGAAAGGATTAGATAAGGTTAGTTGTTTTTATATACTTAAGTGTAATAGTTTGATAATTTGTAATCACAGAATATTAGAACTCTGATTGTTTTTTGTTTTTAATCAGTCTAGTAATTGACTGAAAATCGAGGAAATAATTATTTACTGCTAGCTTTCGCCCGTAACTCCGTTCGCGTCGAATTAAAAAAACAAAAGCAAGTAGCCTATGTGCTCTTCCAGATTATGCTCTAGATCTATGCCAAATTTCATCGAAATCCGTTCAGCCGTTTAGGCTACAAACTCTAACAAACATCCATCCATCCATCTATATAAACTTTCGCATTTATAATATCAAGGATGAAGTATGATATACAGGATGTTTTTTTTTTTTCAATTTAAATAATGAAATATAGATATCTTCTCGTAATATTTTAGTGATTTTGTTTATGTCTGTTAAAACTGTAATACAAAATTAAATTTGTCTAACTACACAGGATGCTGCAAAAGTAATCGCTTACTACAGAGGTGCTAAAGTGACGTCAAAAATTGTCGAAGAAGAAATACAAATGATACGTCGAGCTATGAATCCTGATCTTGATGGTATGGAATATTCACAATATCTTACTAAACTAGCATTCGCCCGCGACTCGGTTCGCGTAGAATTAAAGAAACAAAGGTACTCTATGTGATCTTCCAGACATTCTTCTACATGTTGTTAGGAATAAAATTAGTACCGTGCTATAGAATTGGCGCAACTCTAGATTATCAGCATAAACGTCACGTCCCTAGCTGACAGCTGTCAATGTCACTAGAAGGATGGATAGATTGTCGCGTAACTTGAGTCTTGACGAGAAGTGTTGCTCTGAGTTAAAAGCGACAGTATCAATTAAATAAGTTGTCTAATAATGTATACCAAATTTCATCCAGTTTCGTTCTGTAGATTAGGTAAACTCTAACATACATCTATCTAAATTTTCACCTCTTACTCATTTTACTAATATTATAAATGCGAAACTTTGGATGGATGGATGTTTGTTAGAGTACCGTCATATGTAGAGCATCATCATCACCAGCTCACTATATGTCCCCACCAAGGGGCTCGGAGCCCACCCTAATAAGGGGTGACTAGGCCATAGTTAAACATGCTGGCCCAGTGCGAGTTGGTTGACTTCACACATATCTTTGAATTTCTTCGCCGATATGTGCAGGTTGCATCACGATGTTTTCCTTCACCGTAAGATCGTCAGGAAAATTATGTACATATGAAAATTCGAAAAATCGAAAATCACATTGGTACATGGCGGGATTCGAACCCAAGACCTGTTAATTACAAGTCAAGTGTTTAAACAGCTGAGCCACCGACGCTCGATGTAGAGCATAATCTGGTAAAATACATAGGCTTGCCTTTGTTTATTTTTAATTCCATGCATTACATATAAGTTCGATCTTGTTATCGTTGAATGTTTTTTTGTACAGATTTGACGCCAGAGGTTGAAAAACTACAGCCAGAAATGAAAGAAAAACCCAAGATGTCGGCTTGGAAATTCTTTAGTATGTAGAAATTTTAGTTTATCTGTTTTCTAGAATCGTAGCAAATATATATGATTATATTATTATTATATTATTCTTAATCATAACTCAATGTTGAGTGGTAGTGCCCGCTTTAACATGTTAGCACTGCAGGGCACGCCCCCAGTAATACCACGACCACACAGAAGACAGCCGTCAAATGGAAGCAATTCCGTGTTTCGTTTGATGAGTTTGGTGCCGGAGGCCTAATTTAAGTCCCTTTCTCTTTACCACCCTTTTCTTATAAGGAGAGGATGAGAACGGGAAGTGGATTTGACGGTAGAGGAGATGCATAGGAAGGGGAAATATCCTCTTTATGTGCGTCTCTTCCTCCGTCAATGAAGGATAGGCAACGCATCTGCAAATGCCGATGTCTCTGGGCAGCGTTCGTTTCGCCATTTTTGCGGATTCAGGTTGCCGCTTGCTCGTTTGCCACCTTATGTTATAAAAAAAATGTTAACGCACCTAGTCAATTAATAGACAAGTCCTTTACAATTGCGTTTTTTTACTATAAAATAAACAAATTAAGGAATCTTTAGAGAGGACGCTCACGCAACTGTTGCGTTTGTTTCGAAGCTCATTCGATTGTTTAGTTGCACAACTAAAAATCGAGTAGTGTGCTCCATATAAGCTCATAGGAATCAAAGCGAGACTAAAAAGTTGTGCGATTTTAAAGGTGGTGGTAAAGTACATTTGAAACTGAACTTTATATTGCTTTGAAAGTCCTGCTACTTGTAAATACATTGTTTTTTCACAGAAAAGTCTCGTTCGTCACGTCGTGCACTGATGGTAGCCTTAGTGCTATACACAGCAGCTATCTTCCAAGGTCTGATGGTGGTGCAGGTTTACGCTGAGCCTCTCTTCGCGGAAGCAGTTCCTACAATGTCTCCCACTATATGCAGTGTTATATCCGCTATATTGACAGTTGTGTCTGGCTTTATTGCTGCCTTTTTAATGGAATGGGCTGGACGAAGGGTTAGTATTTTTTTAGTGCCCTTTCCACTACGATTTTCATTTGTTGCTGCTTTTATAAGCATTTTTATGTACCATTTCCAATGGCACACGTATGGGTTTTTGTCGAGGTGAAAAACTTTTATGTTACTTTAGTTTGTTTTTAGAGATAACTTTTTTAAAAGATAGAATGGTGATATGGAGGAGGTTTTTCTTAATTCCTGGAATACGATGTTTCTTTGTAACTTAAACGCCAACATGTATATTGTAGAGACATTAAATAAAGTTGTGAAAATGCTGTAGAAATTCAAAATAAAATGTTCTATGTAAAAAATCTGTTCTCTGGTGTCATCACAAAAAAAAAATATTTAATATTGTTTAATTTCGGGTGTGGGGTGTTAGGGCATAGCGTGGTCGCTTAGGGCGTTAAACAGAAAGGGTCACAGGTTTCTACACACACAAAACTCCAAAAGTGCTAAAGGGGAGCCGTTCAAATGTCACGATAGGGCGTTAAACGTGTACTGTTCGTGAGATTTTATTGTTACAAATGAATGCATTGATGTTTTATTTCCAGTATCTTATGATTTACGCATCATTAGGCGCATGTGTGAGCTGCGTGGTACTTGGCACTCAGATACACTTGCATTGGGGCCCGCATTGGATCACCGCGATGTTTATGTACTTGTTCGTCATTATGTACACTTGTGGAGCGGGCACTGTGCCTTTTGTATTAGTCGCTGAGATATTCCTACCTGAGGTTAGTAGTTCATATACTAGACTTTGTTAAAGAAGTTTGAAAGAAGGTGGTGGAGAAATTGAGAAGCAAAATGAGGACATAAAAAAGTATTAAGATCGAATGCGGGTGGCTACAAAGTAGAAGAAAGTACGGATGAATTCTATGAAAGAGGATATGCTTATGAAAGGAGTGAATGCAAATATAACGGTTGATACTCGTAGTGATGTATGGAAGCACTACGTAATGTGCCAACCCTCTGTAGGTACATGAGTAAGTTGATGAAAAATTATATCATATTTAAAGGTATTAAATGTAAAAAGATTAAGAGCTAGGTACTATATCTGTTTATCTGTACTCTTTACTCTTATAATAAAGCGTAAACTCACACTTCTTTGTTGCCTAAGATGTCAGCGTTTACAGCATATTTTTGAATAATTATTTTTTTAATAAAAAGCCCTACAGCTGCGTCAAGATATAGGCTATATATTTTAACGCCATTAAACTTAGAGGATCATATTTTGGATGAAATCCTAATGTGGGAAAGAGACCATAAGTTGCAGCCAACATCAAGCAAGCAAGGTTGGCGTCATGTCATGTCATTATGACAGTTGTAATTGATATTTTGACAGATGTAAACAATGAAATAAAATTTTCGTAATTCCATGCGTAAGTCGCACAGGAACAGCTAGTGACTAAATATTGCCTTTCTTCTTTTAACCTTTTTAATTTGTTTTTTTTTTCTATTTCAGATCCGAAGTATAGCGTCAATGATCGCAGTGGAATGGTGCCTTATCTGCAGTTTTGTAGTTCTCTTCTTGTTCAACCCTTTAGTGACTGCTATAGGCTTAGGCCCCGTGTTTTACTTCTTTGCGGCCGTCTGCTTACTCTCTGCTGTGTTTTCCTTCTTCTTTGTACCGGAAACTAAAGGATTAACAGTCGATGTTATACAAAATCTATTTGCTAGCCCTAGAAAATGATAATTATATTAAAACTAGCTTCGCCCACGACTCCGTCTGTGCGGAATTTTAAAAAAAACCAAGTAGCCTAGGTTTTCTGCCAGGTTATCTACATCTATCTCAAATTTCATCGAAATCTGCTCAGCCGTTTAGGCTACAAACTCTAACAAACATCCATCCATCTAAACTTTCCCATTTACAATATTGGATGTTTGTTAACTTGTAGCCTAAACGGCTGAACAGATTTCGATGAAATTTAGTAAATATGTAGAAGATAATCTGGAAGAACACATAGGCTACTCACTTTTGTTTTTTTTAATTCCACGCGGACGGAGTCGCGGGCGAAAGCTAGTTTATTATATTGCTACATTAAGACACAAGTGTCATTAATGGCACACGCCATGTCGCCACCTAACAGAGGCTACGTCCCTATGAAAGATATTATGTATAGAAAATCAGTAGAAATGATAAATTAAAATAAACCTGTCTTAAGAATTAAACCTTTTAAGGCTGTTAACAGACGCATTTTCCATACTTGGATTTAGTCTATACTAATATAAAGAGGAATGATTTGTATTTTTGTATGTATTCGATTCACGTAAAAACTACTGATTTTTTTTTATAATATAAGGTGGCAAACGAGC